CATGCTGCTCCTCTTCCAGTGGCTTCCTTTGGCTCCTCAAACATGTTAAGCTCTCTCTTGTCTCAGATGTTTCCTCCACTTCATTTTCTAGCCAGAATTCCGTCACACAGCAAATTGTCAAGTTCCTACTACTGAGGTATCAGCTTTAATTTCACCTCTTCAGAAAAGACTCTACTGACTACCCAATGGAAAGTAGTTTTCCTGCTCCTGTTACTCTCATTTAAAGGGTTCTTACTGGTACATTCAGAGTGTATAGCAAGACTTAAAACCAGACATTGTTGTGATAATGTGTTTACCCACTTACTTTCCGTTTTCACCACTAAACTCTTATCTCCATGAGGATAAGTACAATGTCTATTTTATTCCCCACTTATATCTGATAATTTTTTAATAGCTAGAATCTAGATTTTTAAAAACTTAGATACATACCCTTTAGAATTTAAAATAATCATAATCATTTTATACATCCAAAATTAGATCATGGGATGTCAAAGCATCCTCAAATATATCAGATATTTGGACAATTTTGTTCCAAATTATTTATGTTTTTGCAGACATTGGCATCTGGTGACAAATAAGGAATTATCTTTAACCCAAAAGACTGTATCACACACTTATTTTGTCTATAGATATTTCTGTAATGCATAGATTTACACTTCATTTCCGTTCTTCTCTCTGGAACGCTGAATTGGTACCAGTATTCACATCTGGCTTCCTTGTTTTTACAGCATCTTGTTCCTCTTCTACATGAGTGCATTGTTCCTTACTTTCACAACCTAACTCATTTATCTACAGAGTTATAACATGGCCAGAGTGATACTCGAAGGAAAAGCACAGATACATATAATACTCTAAGATTAGAAAATGGGGATCAGAACATAGCTTGATCTATAGCTCTTCTGTTATGCAACAGATGAATGTATTTAAAATATTTCTCTTGAACAACAAATTCTTAGTACATATAACAGACATAAGGTCTTAAGTAAAGAAATTTTAAGAGTAGACAGCCTTTACAAATTGTATTCCTATAAAATGTAAAAACCTTGAGGTTTTAGTAATATTGTTAGTTTTATACCTTTTTAAATTTATTTTATTTATTTATTCATTTATTTGCTGTTTTCCCCTTGCTCTACAAAAATTGGTGTTCTTTCTATTCATCCATTAAGAACATTCAACAAACAAAAAACAAATACCTTTCATACTGGCCTTCCAGGAAAACATCAGTAGTATAATCTACTATTTAAGTAATATAATTTTTTTTTTCCCTGAACAACTCTTCTAGCACTGACTTACTTCAGAAGAAGAATATGAGCTAGCTGACTCAGGGATAGCTCATCTATGAATTAATAGAACCAATGAACATTTGTCAGTGATTGTATTAGCTGAGTGATTTGCCTTGACTTTTCTAATTTTTTTTTCATTTTCAAATGTAGCTTTTGCCTTTTGACATTACTTCTTTTCTATTTTGAAAGTTTACTTAGCAGTAACGAGAGACTGACTGCCTCTAACACGTAAATTGAAACTCCTTATTAATTTCCAAAAAGGCACAGTAGTTCCCTTGTATCTGTGGAAGGCATTTTCATACCAAGACCTCCAGTAGATGCCTGAAACCATAGATAATACCTAACCCTATATACACTAGGTTTTTTTCTATTCATACATACAAATGATAAAATTTAATTTATAAATTAGGCATAGTAAGAGATTAACAGCTAATAAAACAGAACAAGTTATCTCTCTTTCTCTCCCTCTCAAAATATCTTATTTTACTGTGCTCGCCGATTTTAGGATTCCAACTGACCACAAGCATTTGAAACCATGGAAAGCAAAACTGCAGATCATCAGGCACTAATGTATTGGTGACTTAAAAGTATTCATTGCTTCAGTTCAAAATTTTACCTTCTGAACACAAATTATTTGATATACACTATTTTTTAATGTATCTTACTATCCATCATTTAATATTTAACTATAAAATAGGTATCTATAAAATATTCTTCTGTAGAAAAATGAGAAACTCAAATATGAGTGTACAGTCATTTTGTGG